GGGGGAGGAACGAGGTGGACCTGTATAGTTGCTTTGCTCCGATATCCTGGGCCCCTCGGAGGGCTGGCTTCGGGGGGAGGTCCAGGGCAGCGGAGAAGCAGACAGCCGAGCCACGGATGCGCGGCCAGCGCGGAGGCGAATGAAGTCCAGTGTGTGCAGGTGCTCCTCCTCCTCCTCCTCCTTCTCCTCCTCCCTCCTCCTCCCTCCTCCCTCCTGCCTCCTCCCTCCTCCCTCCTCCCTCCTCCCTCCTCCTCCTCCTCCTCCTCCTCCTCCTCCTCCATCTCTCTCCTCCTCCATCTCCTCGGCCTCCTCCTCCTCCTCCTCCTCCTCCTCCTCCTCCTCCTCCTCCTCCTTCTCCTCCTCCTCCTAGGGAGGGCGTTGCGGTAGTCTCGCGCACGCGCCTTCCCTCGGCAGGATTGCGTCTGTGGGGTGGGGGGAGGCTGCTCCAGTGCGCGCACGCGCCGCCCCTGTCCCAGCCCCCCCCCACCACCCCCGGACCTGCCTGCGCTGCGCTCGAGGGAGAGAGCCTCCCTCCTCCTCCTCCTCCTCCTCCTCCTCCTCCTCCTCCTGCTCCTCCTGCCCCCTGCCCCAACGCGGCTCCCTTCAGAGGGCTTGGCATCGTGCATCTGCTGCTTCTCGGCCAGCACCATCGTGGAGCATCCGGGGCCACCTTGCAAAAACGAGGCGCGCACGAAACCGAAACAGATGCACGGGGAAGGGACGTCCGAGCGATGGCAAGCCTCGCGAAAACTGCGCGCGCGCGAAGCCGAAAGAGTGCCTTTGGGGAAGGGACGTCCGAGCGACGGCAAGTCAACGGCGGTTGATGGCACGCGTCGGAGGTGCGGCGCGCGCGCCGAGCTGGGCGCAGGGCATCGCCGCCCCGTCGCGTGGCGGGGCCCCGCTCCGCGCTATGAAAGCGCGCGCGCCCCGCTGCGCGCGGCCGGTCGCCTCGGTGCGCGCGTCGCGCCGCGCGGCGGCGGCGCGGCGGCATCGCATCGGCGGGAGTCTTTCAAGCAGTGGCGAAGCGTCCTGGCTCGCCTATACCCCTACCAAGCAATCTTCTAAGAACCTGTTGTGGTTTCCACGAAATATTCTTAGAACATTTCTGGCGGAGCTTGTCTTGTTGTAGCACAGCGGGCTTATGTTCTAAGAACACTGTGCTTGTTCTTAAACATATTTGGGTTCTAAGAACCTCTCGTGGTAGGACTATAGGAATGCCGGGACGGTCGGTCCCTGCTCAAGTCTTGGCACCGATCGGACGTGTGTTTTTCTTTGTTCGGCCAGGACCCTCGAGGGGGATCTAGCATCCTCCTTCGGAAAGGCTCGAAAAGTCCGCAACAAAACAAGAAGCGAAGAGCAAAGCACGGGGGCATGGGCGTCCGAGCGGCGGCGAGGAGTCGCTGCGCGATCTTCGCGCGCTGGGGGGGGGGTTCTTTTCCGCGAGCACGAGTGGTGCCTCGCCGCCCGACCTGGTCCTGTGGTCAGGTCGGGCGCGCCCCCCTACAGGGGGACCTTGGACGAAACGCAAGTATATTCAAACAAATGCCCCAAAATAGGTTTAAACATACTTTAAAAAAATAGTCCCCAGACTATTGTTTTCTCAGAACAGTTTTAAACATACTTTTGAAAATAGTCCCCAGACTATCGTGTTCCTACGCTTGAATATTGCGTGCGCGCCGCTCCCTGCGCGGTGGCGCCGCCGCGTCGCACCGCGCTCGGCGCCGCGGCCGGTGCCTCGGAGCGCGACGCCCGCACGGAGCCGCCGCCCGGCGAGCCCCCGCGCCCGCGAGACGGCGTGGCGCCTCGCTGCGCGGCACGGAGCGTGTGCGCTCCGCTGTCACGCCCTGGCGCGCGCTCCGCGCTCGCGCTCGCGGGGGCGCCGCAGCGGGGGCGGTGGGCTTAGTGGGCCCTGGAAACGACAGGGCCGTTTTTGTTACCGGTTCCGTTCTGTTGTGATTTTGCCGGTTCCGACGCCGTTTTTGTTACCGGCTCCGTCGCCGTTTGTTGGACCGGTTTTGGCTCCGGCTCCAATCCTGGAGCCGTTTTTGTTGCCGTTTCCGGTCGCCGTTTTTTTGCCGTTTCCATTTTCAAGGGACATTTTTTTGAAAACGGTGAAAAAACGGCCCTGCCGTTTCCGGGGCCCACAAAGGGCGGTGGGCTTCCCGGGGGACCTCCCCGGTGGACCTCCCCTGGGGGGTCCCCCGAACGCGAGGCCCCCACCCAGGGCCTCGCGGAGTCGCCGAGGGGGGCCCGAGGCGCTGTTCCGGGAGCTGCCTGGAGATCTCCCAGGGGCTCCCTGGGGCCGCGAGGCTCCCTGCGGTGTCCCAGAGACTCGTGTCAGGAGGGAACACAACACACAGACACAGTGAATCGTCGATCCCCCAGAAAAGATTGGAAAATATGGGAAGTGGGGGGGGTAAGACAAACACCCATAAAATATGGGAAGATATGGTGAATCCCGTTATTTGTGTCTGTTTATCTGTGTGTCCCAGAGACTCGTGGGAGCTCCTGGGGCTTCGCAGGCCTTGTAGCTTCCTGGAGCGTCCTCGTGCTCACCGGGCCACCCGGGACGTCCCGAGGCCTCCCGAAGCTTCTCGTGAATGCCTGGGGCTTCCCGGAGATTCTCAGGGCTGCATGGAGCGCCAGGCGCTTCTCGAGGCTTCGTGGAGCTCCAGAGGGAGCACTACTGCACGAGGTTCCATGGGCTGCAAGAGGGGATTTCGGCTCCAAAGGGGCTTCCGCTCCGGAGAAGGGATTTCCAGAGGGAGAAGGAGGGAAGACTTTTGTTGTTTGGTCTGCAGGGCGAGAGCGAACCTCTTCCGCTACCAGAGAAGGAGGGAAGGCGTAGCCCACCTTCTGCATATTTCGGAGGCGGTCGAGCTGACTCTCTCTCTCGCCCGCCGCGTCGCCCGGCTGACGCTCAGCTGAACGCTCCAACCAAACAGTCGTTCGCTGCCTGACGGTAGTCGGTAGCGGCGTCGCTCCAGGAAGAGAGAGAGAGAGCGGCAGAGACAGAAAGAGAGAGAGAGAGGCAGAGCATCGGTGGAGGGAGAGGGGTGACAAGGGGGAAGAACTGGAACGGGAGAGCGGCAGAGGGAAGCCCTAAACCCCCCGCACCCGCCGGTCGAGAGCCGGGAGGGCCTCCCCCTGGCAGTTGCCAGTTGTTTCGCCTTCTTTGCTGTGCGCCTCGTTGTTGCGCTGTCGCGCGGCGGCGGGGACCCCGTGGCATCCGGGCGGCGTGACAAGCAAAAGACAACAACCACAACAACAACAACAACAACAACAACAACAAAACGGCTGGGTCATCAGACCGTCGAGACCCTCACGCCGTGATCTTGGCCACAGCACCGCGCGCAAAGATACGGGGTCAAGAGTTCCAGTCGTTTTTGTTATGGAGGACAGCGAAGACTTAAGTTGGGCATGTCCCTCTACAGGAGGAATACTCAAGCAGAGTAGAAAGATGGCCAGGTGACGATTTGTCATGATGTTTGGCTACTTTGATTATGTTTGACTATCGATTATTTTCCTTCCAACATCCGCCTATAGGAAGACATTCCCGACCTAAGCCAAGAGGGGGGTGATGATTGGGGTGGTGGACATCATGTTGGGGCCGTGATATATCCCCGGATGTCATGGCCCCTTCTTCTTATTCCAATATTTCCATTGTCCCCCCCCCTGGGCCGCGCACATGCCTCGGGCCATGATTTGCGATCCCCCGTCGTGGACGCCCCCGAGTGTAGTCTTCACTACGTTGAGTTTCTTGTTCTGTTTCTTCCAGCTGGATGTCAGGGCCGAACCGTCATTGGTATGTTTACGCCTTGTTGTCAATTGTGTTTGCTATGCGCGAAACGCCTGCGGAGGGGAGGAGGAAGAGGAGGAGGAAGAAGACGTGGAGGACCTAGAAGAAGAGGAGGAGAAGGAGAAGGAGGCGGACGACGACGACCATGGAGAGCATGGAATGGGGACAAGGAGGAGGAGAAGGAGAAGGAGGAGGAGGACCAGAGGTAGAATGAGACGACGACGACGAGCGCAAGTAAAGGGAGGAGGGAGACGAGGAGCGGGAGGAGATGGATCAGGAAAAGGAGGAGGAGGAGAAGGAGGAGAAGGAGGAGGAGGGTTTGGCATCGCTCGGAAATGTGCATGTATCTCCGCGAGGACCATCGAGAAGCACCCTAGATCATCTGGCAAAAAAACGCGCACGAAATCGAATGGAATTGGAGGAAAACCAAATCATAATGGTTTTAGGGCTATAGGGTTATAAGGCTATGGGGCTATATGGCTATAAGGCTACAGGGCTATAGAGCTATAAGGCTACAGGGCTATAGGGCTATAGGGCTATTGGGCTATAGGGCTATAGGGCTATTAGCTCTATTAGGGCTATTGGGCTGTAGGGCTATTAGGGCTATTAGGGCTATTAGGGCTATAGGGCTATCAGGCTACAGGGCTGTAGGGTTTAGGCCTGTAGGGCTGCCATGCACCCAGGCACCCCTGGGCACCCCTGGGCACCCAGGCACGCCGGGGCATCCGGCCACCCGGGCACCCGGGCCGGCCACCGAAGTCGGCGGCACAGCTCACCTAACCATGCGAATCCGCTAGGACCCTTAATAAAATTCTTCAACCTACCATACGAAATCCAAAAAATGCACGGGGAATGGACGTCCGAACGATTGCAAGAGGGGAAAGTGGTGGAGTCGAAGGTGGAAGAGGAAGAAGATGACGACGACAGCGACGACGACAGCGAGCAGCAGGGGGGGAGCTGCAGGAAAAGGACGACGAGGGGGACGAGGAAGGGGCGGAGGAGAGGAATTGTGTCCCCATCCCTCTCCTCCACCCTTTCCGTCGTCGTATCGTCTTTGCCGTCGCCGTCCTCCTCCTCCTCCTCCTCCTCCTCCTCCTCCTCCTCCTCCTCGCCCTCTTCCACTGGGAGAGGGCGAGGAGGAGGCCGGCGACGGCGAAGACGACGGAAGGGAGGGAGCAGGAGGAACAGGAGCGCATGCGGCAGCCGTATTCGCGGCTCGAAGGCGCTGCGGCCCTCGGACCTTGAGCCCAGCCGGCGCCTGTAGGCGCGCCGGACGGGGAGAGCATCCTCCTTCTCGTCCTTCCTCCTCCTCCTTGGCCTCCTCCCTTGGGCGCTGACGCCCATCGCCCTCCCACAGTTTCCTCATCCTCCTCGTCCTCCTCCTGCTCCCCCTCCTCCTCCGAAGAATCCTCATCGTCGTCCTTCTCCTCCAGCCTTCGCGGCTGTGCCCGCTCGGGCAGCAGACGCGCGCGGTATGCCGAAAGGGTCGGGAGGAGTTGCTTCGGGTAGGGTTGGTTGGATGGCTGCAGCACTGCGTGCGCGTGGTCGATTTCTTCGAGCTCCCGCGGCCCTGCGGGGGGCAGTGGCCCAGGGGCAGGAGTCCAGGGGGGAGGAAAAGACAGCCCCGATAGTTAGGCGTTTGCTGAGCAGCCCTGGGCGTTTCCTGAGCAGTCCTGCCCTGTCTGGCTCCCTCCACAGGCGCGTCTCCTGCCCTGTTCGGCTCCGTCCACGGAGAAATCTGGCCAACCTCTGTGGGCCCTCCTGGGCCTGTCTGGGACCATCTTGGGGCTATCTTGAGGCCTCTTGGGATTGTTTTCGGGCCGTCTTGAGGCCTGCCACCTATTGACCCCGATTTGGGGGCCCTCTCGGAGCTCCCTTGGGGTCCTTCGGGGCGATCTTGAGGGCCCCGAAAACTGGCCCCAGGAGTTCTGGCATCCGTGGCTCCCAATTGCCCGGGACCTTGCCAGAGAAAATTGTTCTTCCAGCCATGGGTCGCGTTTGTCTATCCTAGCATCGTGGCCGATGCAGTCTCGCAGAGGTTGTCGATGTATTGTTTTCACGCGCGCCAGTTTTCTGGCTGGATCTCCTCGGGCATACTATTGTTAAACGGATTCTTGGATTTGTCGGAACAATGAAACAACATATCGACGCATGCCAGTTTGGATGCATATGGGGAGGGGCTCATTACTGTGCTTCGCAAGCAACAGCAATGAAGAAAACCAGGAGGTGGCACGCAACACCCGCGGCACATATATCGAGGGTCGGTGTTTGACATGACATTTGAGGCCAGATGGCTCTGCATGCGCCCTCACTACCACTGATGCTGCCTTGTTCATCCCCCTGCGATTCGCTTGGTGCGGCAAGGCATTGGCGGAAGCGATGCCACATGTTCAGACGGATGTCGGAGGGAGGGAGTGAGGCTTTTACAGAAATGAGCGATTTTGGGAGCCTGGTGCTCCTTATTGGTGACTACCACGCCGGTGCCTCAGCGCGCTCGTTGTTCCCCACCCGTTGGCTCGGGGTAGCATCAGGTCAGGATGCCACGAGAGCTGCGGAAGGGAAAGGGGTAAGGAGCGGTTATACGGGTTGGCATTGGAGTGTTTCTTCCTTCAAGCCTCCGCCTCTTCCTCCTGCCCCCCTCTGCCTCTCGTCCTTCTATCTCCCCCTCTTCCGTGCTCCTCCTTTCTCTCATCACCACCACCATCATTCTCGTCATCATCATCATCATCATCATCATCATCACCACCATCATCATCAGCATCGGCATCCCCATCATCATCCTCCTCAACATCATCCGCATCAGCATCATCCTCACCATCATCATCAGCATCATCAGCATCATCATAATCAGAATCATCGGCATCGGCATCATCATCATTATCCTCATCATGATCTTGATCATGAGCATCATCATTATCACTGCCATCATCACGATCATCACCACGGCCATCACCACTGTCATCAGCATCAGCATCAGCAACATCACCACCACCAGCACCACCACCATCCTCATCGTAAGTGTCCTCTCTGTCTCGCCCTTCTCCTCCTTCCATCCGCATTCACATGTTACATCCACTCCTCCATAGTTGTATGTTGCTTCTCCTGCTCCCCACTCTTCCTCCTTCCCCTTCTCCTGCCCCACGTCGCCCCCCGCAACTTCATCATCATCCTCTCCCTGCCTCCCCTCCCCCCCCTCCTCCTCCCCCATCATTGTCCTCCTCCTTTTCCGCCCCCTCCCCCTCCTCCTTCTCCTCCTTGTCCTCCTCCTCCTCTTCCTTCTTGTCCTCCTCCTCATCATCAGCATAAGCAGCATCGTCATCATCATCATCATCAGCATCAGCATCAGCATCATCATCATCATCATCATCATCATCATCATCATCATCATCATCATCATCGTCATCGTCATCGTCATCGTCATCATCAGCATCAGCATCAGCATCAGCATCAGCATCCTCCTCAGCGTTCTCCCCCATCCGCGCCCCCGACGGTCCTCCTCGGTTCTGGCGGACTCCTGGGCCGTCCTCCCGATTCCTCGCTCCTGCCCCTCCTCTTCTGACGGTGGGCACACGGGCCGCACACGATGTCGCGAACGAGTGCGGCGAGCAGCGGGAAACAAACGACAACGAAAAAATGGTGAAGGAAGAGCGCGCAGAGGGGCGCCGAGCAGCCGTGCACGCAGCCTGTTTGGGCATGCCGCGGGAGCGTTCGAGGCGTCGGTCGGAGGGCGCTGCCCGCCCGCCATCGCTGCGCCCCGCGCACGACGAGGGGCGGCAGCCGCGGCAGCGGCAGCGGCAGCGGCGGCGCAAGAAGCCGCAGCACGCCCTCTTCCTCCTCCCCCTCGATCCTCCTCCTCGATCCTCCTCCTCCTCCTCGATCCTCCTCCTCGATCCTCCTCCTCCTCCTCCTCCTCCTCCTCCTCCTCCTCCTCCTCCTCCTCCTCCTCCTCCGGGCCCAGAGTCCCAAGGCCGCGTCCGAGCGGCTCTCCTCCGCAGCAGGCTCCGGCAGTGCCTGTCGCTCCGCCGCGAGCCCGTTCGCGGCCCAGGGCCCCGCGCGCGACCGCGCGAGCGGCAAGGCGAGGGCGGCTTCGAGCGTCGACCGCCTGGCGGACGCACAGGATTGCCGAGGCCGGGATGGCCGTACTGCGCAGAAGCCAGCAGTCAGGATGAACGAGCCCCGTGAGACACCCTTGAATTCATGTGCTGGAGACCCGTGCTATCCTCCTCGATCTCCTCATCACTCGACCTGGCTGCCGAGTCACACTGCACGCGTCCGTGCTTACAGCAGTTGTCGTATGCAGCTTGAAATGGCGACGTGTACTGCGGGGTCCGGGCCGGACACTGCGCACACTGCGCCCGCGCGCATGAGAATTCATTGTTGGGAGATCTCCCAGCGCAGTCAGTGACCCCACCACCCCCCGTGTCCCCCAGAGTCCTAGCAGCAGGACCAGTGCGCGAGATCGCGGGATCCCGAGGTTGACCGTAATTAATATTATATGTTAGCCAGTGTGGACCCCAAACAGCACGTGTCTGGCAATAGTTGTTTTGCAAAATACATGGGCAACATATGTGGTGCAACATATGCGGTGCAAAATCTGTGATACTATATATGGTGTACACTGTATGTGGTGCACAATACATGTGGTGCAATCGACGCGGCTCAATATATATATATATATATATATATAAATATATATATATATATATATATATATATGTGGTGCAAGCTATGTGGTGCAGTCCAAGTGATGCAATGTATGCTGCGCGCTCTTCGTGGTGCATGTAGGTGCTGCACCATGCACCCTATGTGGTGCAACCTACGTGGTCCAAAATATGTTGTGCAGGCTATGTGGTGCAGCCTATATGGTGCAATCTGCGTGGTGCTTCATATGGTGTGCTGCACTCTATGTGGTGCAATCTACGTTGTGCAATCCACATGGTGCAGTCCATGCGGTGCAATATATGTCGTACAAGCTGCGTGGTGCAAACATAGTATGAGCATAGTATGCGGCGCAATATGTTTGGGTATGCGGTGCAACCTACGTTGTGCAATCTACGGCGGCGACGGGGCGGACACGGGGTGGCGACGGCGGCAACGTAGCCGCTTGACCGACAAACAGGCCAAGACGACGGGCGGCGACGGGGCGGCGACGACATCAACATAGCCGCCAAACCGACAGACAGGCCCAGTTCCATAACAACACGCAAGAAGCCCTCAGTGCATGTATTGTTGGGAAATGTTCTAAAGGGGGTAATTCAAAATCCCGACGTAACAAAAACAATGGTTTTCAAAACCCCGCGCCATGGCCAATAGGTCCCGCGAAGCCCCGAGCCCCGCATCGTGTCGTCGCGAAGCCTTTGAAGCGCCGACGAGGGCCAGCCGTCGAGACTTCCATCATCATCACCATCATCATCATCAACATCATCATCACCATCATCATCATGCCAAACATCGACCGTCATCATTGTCAGCCCGTTACCGCGAGCTGGGGCTCAAGTACACCCTGCCGCCACTGCGCCTTCCTTGTTCGCAAGGCCGGCGTATGCGCTGGACCAGGCGAAGCGGACCCTCGTCCTTCCCTTGCGCACGCTGGCGGCAGCGTACGCATGCGCCGCGGGGCCCAGCTGGGCGAGCCAGGACTCCTGAAGTACATTTCGGGGCCCACGTTTGGTGGATGCCGAGCCCCACTCTGGAGTACCTCAGCACAGTTTCCGCGTTGACCAGAGCTCCTCGACGACGACGAGGGCCCAATGCGTCAATTGCAGCATGGGTCTGCAAATTTGCAGCTGGAGTAGGGCAGCAGCCGTGGCACCACGGGTTGGAGATTTGAATGCACGGTGGGGACCCATGCCAAGAAGCACCCTGCTCGCCTCTAGAGTGCCCAGGGTTTCTTGGGCTTCGATGGCTTCGCTATGGAAAGCGCGACGCTCCCACACCGCAAATCAGTGGATGTCCTGGGTCTGGACGCCCGAAAAGGGTACGGAAAGAATGGGTACGATGCCCAGCAGCAGTTCCTGTTCATTATGAACAGGATTCGCTGTCCACGCCGCCGCGGTCTGTGTCCATTCGAGACAGAAGGCCGCCTGCCCAACAGCGGCCGCTGCTGGTTTGGGACAGCATTTGTTGTTGGGCATTGTGCCCGTTCTTTCCGTGCCCATCTCGGGCGTCCAAACTGGGGTCTTCCGGGGTTGGGCTTCTTGCGGCAGGTCTCTTGCGCACAGGCCTCCCGTGCACCGTCGCCGACCCCCGTCCAGTGGCGGCAGAGAGAGAGAGAGAGAGCGAAGGCCGAGGGCACGGGCGCGCGCGCGGCCTGCCCCTCACGGGCCGCGGGCGCCGCGCGCGCTGCCCTCGCGGAAGCGACGCGCGCGCGACGGCGGCGCCAGCGCGTCTCGGCTCTCCCTGCGCGGTGTGGCCGCGCCCGTGCGGAGAAGCAGCAGGCGGTCGCCTCGGTTTGCCGTCACCTGTTCGCCCGCGCAGTCACCTCCGCACGCCGTCTGCGTGACCTTCGTCTTCTTGCTCGTCACGGTCGTCGTCCCTCGCTTTTTGTTTGTTCTCTCTGTCTCTCTCTCTCTCTCTCTTTATCCCTATCTCTCTCTCTCTCTCTTTCTCTCTCTTTCTCTCCCTCTCTTGCGTTTTCATGTCGTTGCTATACTGTTATACCTCTATGTGTATGTATCCCTCTCTCTCTCCCTCTTTCTCCCTCTCTCTTTCTCTCTCTCTCTCTCTCTCTCTCTCTCTCTCCCTTTCTCTCGTTCCCTTTTTTATTTCTCTCTCTCTCTCTCTCTCTATATAGATGCCTTTGTGGTATGTGTTTCTCTCACTCTGTCCCTGTATCTCTGTCTCTTTCCATGCGCCGGTCTTATTAAATATTTCTTTATAGTGGTATCGTTCTTCCCATGTCTGTCTCTCTTTCTGCCTCTGTCATTATGGATGCCCTCCTCTATATGTATATGTACACGCCTCTCCCTCTCTCTCTCTCTGTCTCTCTCTCTCTCTCTGTCTCTCTATTTCTCTATCCCTCCTTCTCTCTGTCTCTCTCTCTCTCTCTCTCTCTATCACTCTCTTCTCTCTCTTTCTCTCTCTCTCTCTCTCTATGTGTGTTTCTCTCTCTCTCTCTCTTTATCTCTCTCTCTCTCTCTCAGTATCTCTCGTTCTCTCTCGCTTTGCCTCTGTATGTATATCCCTCTTTCTCTCTCTCTTTCTCTCTCGCTCGCTCGCTCTCTCTCTCTCTCTCTCTTTCTCTCTCGTGTGTGTGTGCTCTCTCTCTCTCTCGCTCTTGTTCTTGTCTCTCTCTCGCTACACATATACATATATATATATATATATGTATATATATGTGTAAATGTATATGTGTGTTATCTCTCTCTTTGTTATCTTCTCTGTCTCTCTCTCTCTCTATCTCTCTCCCTCCCTCGCTCTCTCGCGCTCTCTCTCTCTCTATCTCTCTGTCTCTCTCTGTCTCTCTCCCTCTCTCTTTCTCTGTTTCTCTCTCTCTCTCTCTCTACATATCTATATATACATCATGCAAAAGTGTATATATATATAATAACTGATACATGCAGATATACTGATCTTTGTCATATATACCGGTATAGTCACCTCAAAATCCTCAGACTTGTTGTCCCAAGGCGAGAGTCTTGTCGTCTGTACACGGGTGGGGTGGGTGAAGTGGACGGAGATGAAGACGATGGGGTGATGAACGGAGAGGCGGGAGGGTGGGCGGGCGGCGGGCGGGCGGGCGGGCGGCGGGCGGGTCGGGATTTGAGTCGACTCTTTAAGGATTCCCCTTTGCAGCTTGAGTACTGGGTGTTGCCTTGGAGACGGGGGTTGTTGAGTGCAAGGTGTTGCATTGGAGACGGAGGCTGTTGAGCACAGGGTGGCGCATGCTACACGGAAGGCGGGCGGGTGGGCGGATGGCGGGCGGGCGGGCGGGCATGTCGGAATTTGAGTCGGTTCTTTAAGGATTCTCTTTTGCAGTGGGAGCTTGTTGAGTAGTGGGTGTTGTCTTGGAGACGGAGGCTGTTGACTAAAGGGTGTTGTCTTGGAGACGGAGGCTGTTGAGTACAGGGTGGTGCATGCTACACGGAAGGCGGGCGGGCAGGCGGGCGGCGGGCGGGTGGGTCGGGATTCGAGTCGATTCCTTCAAGGATCCTCTCTTGCAGTGGGAGCCTGTTGAGTACTGGGTGCTGTCTTTCGGGCAACCGCACGAAAACGTGGATGTTAAGAAAACTGCGTGGGGGGATCTTGAATGGACTATTCCCACACCTATTTATATACACGTGTCGCGTTATAGTTATCTATCTTTCTGTATCTCTCTATGTTTCTCTCTTTCTTTCTCTCTCTCTCTCTCTCTCTCTCTCTTTCTCTCTCTCTATCTCTCTCTCTCTCTCTCTTTCTCTCTCTCTCTCTCTCTCTCTCTCTCCCTCTGTATATATAGGTGTGTGTGTGTGTGTCGAACGTGTTCTCTCTCTCTCTCTCCCTCTTTCTTGCCTCCCTTCTCCGCATGTCCCCCTCTAGCTCGTTATCTATCCTTTTCCCCCCTCCTTATCCACATCCGTGTCGTACACCCGTATTCCACACATTCCCCGGTCCTCCTTGTCCAGAGTTTCGATACATTTGGGCCACGAAGGACGATAGCCAGAGCTATCAACTTCCTCTTCCAGCGTGATCCTTGCGAGCCAGATTGTCCGTGAGGGCCTCTGGGCCCAAAACGGGTAACAACATACGTCGCGAAGTTATCCGCTCCCTTCTGGTATCAAGGCCCCTTTTTTCCCATGACCTCCCTCCTTCGGTTTTCCTCACTCTCCCCTGCAGCGTTCCCTCTGAAGCCTGGGGTTTCTGGACACTGCCCAGCGGAGGGTGGCGGGTTGGGCGGGCACCGGCAGTGGTGGGGGGGCTCCCTGGATGGCTCCCCAAGCAGCGAGCTGATTTCCCCCAAGTGGCCACAATCAGTACGACAAAATGTTTCGGGAGGGGGACAAACACACAGACACAATTAATCGTCGATCCCCCGGAAAATACAGAAAAAATATTGGAAGTGGGGGGGAAGACGAAAACCCCAAAGATATGGAAAAAGATATGGGGAATCTTGGGATTTGCGAGTGCAATTTACTCCTGTGTCCCAGGGCCCCTTTCGTGTTGTTCCTTGTCTCTGGCGCGAGCCCGCTCTCAAAAATCGCCGGCCGCGCAGCGCGCGCGCTTCAGGCGCACGAGGCGGCGCGGCACTGCGCGCGCCGACCCCGCCTCTCCTCGAAGCGTTTTCTTTAGGGCGAGCGCGGCGCGCCCGGCGGCGCGGGGTAGCAAGTCGTCGGCTCGCCCAGGCGCCCGAGGCGCAGGCGCTCGCGGCGGGTGGAGGATCCGGCCGACTCACGCGCGCGGCCTGGGCGCCATCGCGCACAAGTGGGCACTATCCGACACTGATCGGCACCATTCGGCCTGGGCGGCGACGCCCCCAAGTCTCCGTGATTGCGAACCGAAGTTTCGGGAGCCTTGAGACGGGGGCCAATGCGAACGGGGGTCAGCCAGAGATCTTGCAGGCTCTTGCAGGGCCAGGGTGGCATTGGCCCGGGCTTGGGTGCAGGATGCTGCCGGATCCTGCGCACTGACCCGGGCTTGGGTGCAGGATCTCGTAGGATCTTGCAGGATCCTGCAAGGCCTGACTAACCCGGGTCTGGATTGACCCGGGTCAGAAGATCCCCGACGGTCGCAGCACAGTTGGCGCACAGGAAGGCACAGTTGCAGTCCAGAGGGGCGTGTTTGGCGCACACTGCAGGCAGCACTGAAGTCTACGGCCTGGGAAGCTGCTGCCGACCACGGCACGAGCCCCGTGGCACGCTCGGCCCCGCTTGCAACCCACGCTGGCCCAGCATGTCCAACCCACCCCTCAAAAAATGTGCACGGCAGGTTCGTGCCCCGGCGGCGTGGGCGATGGCTTCTGACACAGCGTGGATCGTTCATGAGCGATCGGCGGCTGTCCGACCGCCAGATCGCTCCATCTTGGACGATTCTGGGCCACTGGCGGCGTTCAACCTTGGAGGCCCGCGGCAGGGTCGTAGCCTCGTCGACGCGACGCGAAGCGACCACGATTTCCTACGTGTGCTCGTTGCGCCCAAGTGTGAGTTGTGTGTGTGTTGTTTATTCTGCGCTTCTAGGGATTGGGTCTATACTTGCGTGCGCCATTGCACCTCGAGGATAGGATTTGTTCGAGGGGCGTTCGCAGTCGCCGCGATTGCGAGTGCCTCCGGTTCCGTGTCCGGGGGAGCGACGGATGGCGAGTCCGCCCACGAGGGAAGTTGCCGACCGCGGGGGGGGGGCCTACCACGTGCGATCCGCAGGCGTGGCGGACTGCTGCTTGCACGAGGTCGTTCAAGTTGGCGCGCGTAGTGGCGGCGCCACGGACGGTTGCGCCCTGCAGTTGCGTGAGGCTGCGCGCGAGGGCCATGGTCGCGGTTGGGCCCGGCTCGCATGTTTGGCAGCGCCCCACGCGAGCAGGCACGCGGTACTCGCGGCCCTCGGCATGCAGACGTCGACCCGCCGTCCGCAGCGGAGGCGCCCCAAGGGGATCGCCGTGTTTCGGGGAGCAAAACCTCACGTTCATATAAATGTTCGACGGCCCACGCGCATCTTCGATCGGCGCTGGGGCACCTCTGGCGCCGCCCCCTAGCGCGCCCCGCGCGCCAGAGAGGGGGGTTCAGCGCCAATACAAGAAATCAGCACGGAGGTCCGAAAGTTTCTGTTCATGCCGTGTTATGTTGTTCGTACGACACGTTTAGTTTGTGTTGTTGTTCGTGGTGGTGTTGGTGGTGGTGGTGCTGCTGCTGCTGCTGTTGGTGGTGTTGTTGGTGTTGGTGCTGTTGTTGGTGGTGGTGGTGCTGGTGCTGGTGCTGGTGGTGTTGCTGATGATGTTGTTGCTGCTGTTGTCGTGGTTGTGGCTGTTGCTCGTCTTACGTATCTCCAGACATGCGATGGACTGATCCTGTTCCCCAGGACTGGCGTTTCACCCCGCGTCGTTTTTTTGACGGTCCCGGGTCCCGGCGAGGGCACCCCGAGCGCCGAACACGGCGAGCACGAAGTTTCCCCCCCTCTAAGAAGCGAGCGTCAAGACGCGTATCCCTCCCTCTCCCCCGTGCACGCCGCCGAGGTCCCCCAGCGCAAGGGCGACGTGCCCTCCTGCTTCAAAGAGCTGCTGAACACGGACAAGATTGGCGCGCTCGCGGCCGAGTTTCCGAGCTTGCAGGAGGAGGAGAAGGAGGAGGAGGAGGAGGAGGAGGAGCAAGAGGAGGAGGGGAGGGGGGAGGGAAGGAGGAGGAGGGGAGGAGGAGGAGGAGGAGGAGGAGAAGGATGAGGAGGGAAGGGAAGGGAGGGGAGGGGAGGGGAGGGAAGCGGAGGGGGAGGAGAAAAGGGAGGGAGAGGAGCAGGAGGAGGAGGAAAGGAACCGCATAGATTGCATTACATAGATTGCATCGCATACATTGCACCACATTGGTTGCACCGCATAGACTGCAAGAACCTACTGTTTGGGGTCCACGACGCTGGCTAACATTGAAATGCACCAGCGAGAAGCTCCAATCTGGATGGTTTGAAAAATTCGGCAGGTAGAGATGGATAGTGAGCTCGATCGTGGGATCCCGAAATCGGCCCAGAACCAGCCACCGGGAACCCGGGAACCCGGAAGGGGGAACCCAGGAACCCAGCCGACTACCGCAATCGGCCCAGGGCTCGCTACATTTTTCAATGTCCGCTAGGACCCCTTCAGTGCAAGCACCGATTGGGGAACAACCTAGAGTGCGTAGGTTCCGGCATGGCTCGGGCAGGGTTGAGCAAGACGGACACGAGGGGCAATGCAGGTGTCTTCGGGCCGTGCCGCCCTAGCAGGGCTTCCCGGGTATATGCCCGAGGGTGATGCGAAGAAGGAGAGGCAGAAGCAGAGTCGGCAGACGGCGGCGAGCAGAAGCACGAGCAGGATCTGGACGACAACGGGGCAGTGCCGAGATTGGAAGGAGGCGGGAGCAAGAAGTGGCGCACGAAGGGCAGCAAGAACCGAAGGAGGGCCGCTTGAGACAACAGCGGCTCTCCAGGTGATCGTTTTCTTATTCGTTGTTTTGCCGATCAGCGCGGGCCCTCGCACCCCCTCCCCCCGCATGGAGTCTATCTTGGATGTCTGGGGCGACTGTTTCGAGCAGGGTAGGTGGAGTCTGCCCCATAGGACGCACCGCCGCAAACAGTCCCATTTAAGCAGAGGTCCGTAGCCATTTTGGCTCAAGCCTCTCATTTTCGAGGCTCAGGCGTGTGCACGGACGCTCCAGCACCTCTGAGCGGTCCCATCGTCGAGCGAGGCTAGCGAAAAAGCACCTTTCCTACCTCATGGCGTCGCAGTGATATTCTCACCCCCTCCCCCGGTCCGCCCACTGTCGAAGCGCCGACTAAGAAAACGTTCACCAGCCCGCCCCAGGTCCCCTCAAGGTCGATCTCTGGGCCCCTCCCGAGCTCCATCCTATACAGTCGGGGCCCTGAAGAAGGAACCCTTTTGCTTGGGGAGGGGCTCCGCGTTCCTTAAGTGTTTCACAGCTTGCCTCAGGTTGTCCTTAGGTTCTCGATACGAAATCGAAGTTCAACTTATAGAAAATAGGGGCCTCGTTCCCTATTTAGGGTTCCTTAGGTCAACGCCCCGACTGTAGCCCGCTGTTCGAGGCGGATCTCGCCGGGGCGACGAGAGTCCTCCGGGAGGCCTCAGAGGGGCGCGGAGCGCCAGGGACGGCCGCCGCTGTCTCGAGTGGCCCTCAGGTCGAGTCCTCCTCCTCCTCCTCCTCCTCCTCCTCCTCCTCCTCCTCCTCCTCCTCCTCCTCCTCCTCCTCCTCCTCCTCCTCCTCCGGTTGCAGAAACATTCATTTTCGGAGGTCCGCGCGGAGTTCTCGGATCGGCGCTGGAGCTCCCTCCTTAGCGCGCGGAGTGCGCCAGGGGCGGCGCCGGAGGCGCCGCCATGGGGGGGCCCAGCGCCGATTCGAGGAATCCGCGCAGAGTTCCAAAGTCTATGATTATGCCTTCTCTGTTCCCCTAGAGCGAGGGCGGAGGCGACACGAGGACGAGGACGAGGAGCCCAGGCATGGTGCTCTGCACCGGCAACGTGGGCTCCAGAGCTGTAGTCCAGCAGCTGCAGGGCATCGCCGGCGACAACTGCAAGATAGTCTGCGGGGGGCCTAGGGCTCCGCGGCCCCCAACAGGTGCCACCAGAGGCGCTGCATGCCCGTCCTCTTCTCCTCCCTTCCCCTCCTTCCGTGTCCGCCTCCCTCTCCTGCTGTCTCTCGAAGAAGCCCAAAAAAGGCATGAACATGCACTGTCGTAGTTCCACGAGAATTTATTGCACCTGCGCTGGGACCCCCCGGACGCGCATCTGGCGCCGCCCCTGGTGCGCTCCGCGAGCCAGGGAAGGGGGGTTCGGCGCGGATCCAAGAGATCCGCGCGGATCTCCAGAAATTTGTGTTATGTTGTGTTTTCGCTCAGTTTCCCAATTATCAGTTCTCCTTCCCCTCCTCTCCTCCTCCCCCATTACGCTCACGATGGCGGCCGTCTCGTCCCGCGCTCGGGACCGAAGCCGTTGTCTTCGCCCTCCTCCTCCTCCTCCTCCTCCTCCTCCTCATCCTCCTCCTCCTCCGCCTCCTACGCCTCCTCCTGCATGAATCCTGACTTCTGTTCCTCCCGATCCCCCTTGCGCCTACTCTTAAGTCGGGCATGTCCCTCTACAGGAGGAATATTCAAAAATAGCTAAAAGTACTCCGGGGGCGATTTTTTGATTTTTTGGGGGACCATTCAGGGGTATTTGTTTTCGTATGTATGACTTTTCTTGCAAGATCCGCCTGTATGGGGGACACGCCCGACCTAAGCCTACTCCTCGTCCTGGATCGGGTGGGCAGTGGGAGGGGGGTCAGACCGTGAATTACCTACCCCGCTTTCGCTTCCAGGCAAAACCAAGTCATACCACGCGCCTCCTCGTCAAGCGGCCAAACCAGCGCAGGCCGTAGTTTGGCATCGTGTGGTATCTCTTGGAAGCGAGGGTGGTCCAAAGCGAAGTAGGTGTATTTTCCCCCTAGGGGGGGAAGGAAGGAGTGGAGGTGGAGGAGAAAAGCAAGGGCAGCGCTGTCCACGATACTGTCGATCCGCTGGCGCTCGCCGACGCCTGCGCACGTCGCCGTGGAATCCGACTGCGGCATGCCCGTGTTTTCTCGACGCGGCGGCTTCCCCGCTGCGGGCGTTCCGGATTGAACGGCGCCGGTGGCGCAGAATCGGCCAGCATGGAGCGACCAGGCGATCGCAAACGTGGATCAAAGGGGCCGTGGATTGGCTGCGGGCCCCGCTTCCGTGGGAAGTCGCAACTTTCCGCCGCCGAAGGAGGCGGCACCGGCCGCATTTTGGGGAGGGCGCCTCCCCCGATCCATGGATTTGGCGACCGCGCGCCAGATCCATGGATCGCTGATCCGTGCTTGCGCACCCCCGAGGTAAGGAACGCTCAGGCGGTCAAAAATCCGCCGAGCGCCGAAGGTTGAGCGAGTCACGCGGTGTCATAAAAGCCCACGCTGGAGTCGCCACGTCACGAGCTTGCCGTGCGCACGGTGCCCCCTCGTCTGCGGACGGGGCTCAAGGCGATGAGTTCGAGCCAGCGAGCGTTGCGATCGATCCGCGAGGCGGGGCACTCTCCGGAGAGTTATATGAGCGACGAGATGTATGTATGTATGTATGTATGTGTATATATACACAGATACGTATTGTATACATATTTTTAAAACATGTAATACCGCAGAATCATATAATATACTATGATGGAATGCAATACGACAGAATGCAAACGAAAGTAATTCACTAAGAGATGCTATAATGTGGCATTACAAAATAATTCATAACATCAGATGTTATATTATGATATCAATAATTTGATACACTACCATATACTAGTACCAAAACAAAAGATCAGAATATCAAACACTATGGAAGTACGATGTAATACCATAAAATATAACGTATCACAACAATAATTACATACTAGTTTGGGATATAGTACGCAATGTACATGTTCATAGTGTACTGTAGCATAACATATCGTAATATTATATAACGCAATATGGTATAATGGAATGTACCTTAATATGTTACAACATGGCGCAATGTGATGTAATAGATCAGTATGTCGTATACTATCATATGTTACAATAGATCATTATATCATATGATACAATACAAGACAATATCATATAATATAGATAGGTGGGATTTCGCCGACGTTCACCCGCAAGTTGCTCGCGTAAGGTCGCGCACAAGCGCCTTCGCTCCCCACGCGGTGCGCCCGGTGGCGCGGCCCGCGCACAAGCCACGGCGGAAGGCCGCTGCGTGCCACCTCGCGCAGGGCCCGTCTCTTGTCCCGGCGGCGCGCCCAGGGGGGAAGTGAGAAGGAGAAGGCCTTCTCAGAATCGAAGAAGAAAACACGCCATACGCATAAACTGTCGGCCCTCCGCGCGGACTTCTTGGATCTACGTTGGGGCCCCCCCGGCGGCGCCTCCAGCGCCGCCCCGCGCGCCGGAGAGGGAGGAGCCCGGCGCGGATCAAACAAATCTGCGCGGACCTCCAAAAGTGTATGTTTATGTAGTTGTCTTTCTTCTACAGCAGGCGGCGGGACTTCTCAGAAGGACAGAGGCCTTCGAGCATCCTGAGAAGGCCCGCCCCCTCCCGCTTCCACCCAGGCGCGCCCCCGATGTTTTCGACGCCCACCAGGGAGGAAGACATAACGAAGGGCACCGGCCACTTCGGGGCCTTCCTGGGCCTCCTGCAGGGTTGCGTCGTGCTTGCTTCGGTCCGGGCGGCGCGAGGGCGCGACGACAGCCGCGCGTCGGCCTGCCGTCGGTGGAACGCCGTGGCCAGTGGAAGTCCAAGGCGCACGTGCGCATCGGGGGATACTGTCGGGGACGTCACCCGAGTCGGCGGCCCTGACGAGGGGGTGGCGGCGGCTGTGGCAGTGCCGAAGCGCGCCCGGAGTCCAGCAAGGCAGGAGGGTGCCAGCCCGCCGACTTGCCTGGCTGCTGCTCCCAGGGGGGAGTCCGGTGCTCAGGGGAAGCTGCAGCACCGCTCAACGATGTGTCGTTAACCGAAGTTGCAGTGTGGGCCCTTTCCCTTCAGGGGGTCACCCCGATCTTCTCCCTCGGCCATCGCTGGCCTCGCTGGAGTTCCGCGCCATGCGGTCGGGAACTTTTGGAGTGCATGCCGCTCCGCCGGTGCTGGCCCACCACGCTTCGGCGCGACACGCTATCCACGCCCCGGCCCCCCAGCGTCAAGGCCTGGGCCTGTCCGACCCTCCCGCCCCGCGGAGCGGAGCGACACGCCATCCGTTCGCAGGGCACCGCGTGCCTCCAGGGACCCCCAGCCGGGGCGACGTGCTGAGCAGAAGTTCCCGGCCGCTTGCAAAGGGCGATCGAGGTGTGGAGGGCGATCGACATGCACGCTCTCTGGACCGAGGCGCGGGCACAGTGCTGGCGCCCCCTGGCCGCCGCACCCTCCCCTCCCCTTCCCCCAAGTGTCGCCGCGCGAGGGAGGGCGAGGAGAGGGAGGGGGAGAGGGAGGGCGAGGGAGAGGAGGAGGAGGAGGAGGAGGAGGAGGAGGAGGTCGCCGCGCCGTTTGCTCCGACGCGCGGCCTTGCCTCTCGGGGAGGGCGCCGCGGCCACCGGGGCAAGCTCCGCCTCGGGCACAGGGTTCGCCGTTGGGCTTTTTCCGCGGTGCCGCCGTCGTCCACCTGGGCGCGTTCAGGACGAGCACGGCGCGGCGGCACGTCTGCACTTTGCCACGGCGTCTCGCTGTGCTTCCGAGGGTCGCGGGTCCAGGCCAGAGCCGAAGCCTGGTGCCTTAAAGGAAGATCGGGCGTTGCATAAATGGGGGGGGGTAAGTGTGGGGGGGGAGAAAGGTGCACAGTCCGTGCACTTTAAGGGCCGGCCCTCCTCAAGGGGTTGTTTGGGGCCCAGAAATGGATACAAAAGGTGTACGTTCCTTCGCCCCCGTCCCGTTCATCGCCCCCTCATTGAGCAACGCCACAGGAACCACTGTGTTTCTGCTGTGTCTCCGCTTGGTCAGGGTCCAGGCCAAGCTGCGGTGTGGCGCCCCAGGGAACGCTGTGCTTTGATTGTGCTTCCAATGGCCCGGGGGTCCAGGCCAGGGTCTACCGTCCATACCACTACTCGTCATCATTCGAGCAGTGGCGAAACGTTCTGGCTTGCCTATAGGCCCACCCAAGCATGTTCTGAGAATGTTTCGTGGTTTGCACGAGATGTCTCTAGAACATGTCTGACCGAGACTGTCTTGTATTATCACATCGGCCTCATGGTCTAAGAACATTGTTCGTGTTAGTATAACATTCTTGGGTTCTAAGAACATATCGTGGTAGGCATGTAGGAATGCCAGGACGGTCGGCCCCTGCTCAAATCATGTCAGTTGTATGGGTGTTTGGCCGAAGCTGTGGTGTTCCCCCAGCAGGGGAAATTCATATGTGCGGACATTGCATGTCGTTTCCGTCTTCGCAATGTGCCGTATAGATTGCCAATGTGCAAGATGTGAGTTTCATGTACGGAACAGGACAGCAGTTAGGCTCAATGGTCAGTTGTTATCGATGCCGAGGCGGAGACGCCGACTATGAGTTCGACTTTCCGGAGACCAGGGTGCATAGTCAATGCCATGTTGTCGTCCGCATGTGAGCAAGTAGATATGGTTTGATTTCTTCTAGCACATTGCAGCTCATCATATTCACCAGGCCAAGTGGAGGTGTTTTCTTCTTGTGGCCAGCTTGCCATGACAGCGTTCCTCAGGAGACGACTGTCACTTCAGTCGGCGACTTCAAGGTGGGCCTCATCCATGGCCACCAGGATGCGCGGTTTCCTCTTGGAAAGGCTTGTGTGACGCTGCGACGACATAGGGTCCCACCCCAGAGGGCCCGATTCCAGAGGCTCCCACCCCGTAGGATCCCACTCTGCAAGGTACCACCCCACAGGGTCTCACAGCATGGACTCTCCTTTCACAAGAAGAACGGACTGTACCACCCTCCCGCGCCCAGGCTGAACCGTTCAGTTTTTGATATGTTCAGTTTTTGATATCACAATATATGGTTACGCATCATCGCTCGTGTTCCATCTGGTACCATGCCATCCAAGCCAGGCCAGTATTGACACCCACCTCAGCCCTGTCGAATCATAGCATGCACGCGCATGTGCTTATATCAAAAAAGATGGTTCCAGACATCCTTTCCCAAAAAAGAAGCAAAGTACACACGCACGCGCATATGCCAAGCGCATATTAAACACATACGTGATTGCAAGCATTGCAACGTGAAAGCATCAACAACTGTGTGGTGTCTCACCAAAAATTGTTGCAGATGTTCTGCCGGCGCGAACGTGTTGAAATCACACGAAGATCGCATGATTGAAGCAATGTCCAGAACCCGCGTTCTCATCTCACCTCGCGGCGCAATTGCGTTGCACCCAGTGCACAAACCCAGATCAAGTATGCAATATCATGCGGACCATATGCGCGCGTTGCCACGCGCGCGTGTCGAAATCCTTCCTAAACATTCTGAAGCCGAAGCATTTCCAGATAGCGCTCTTCAACCACAGATGGAAACCCAGGTTGTTCAACAAAAAGTGTGCCAGGTATCTTTTGGATTTCTGCGCGGCCGCACTTCCCCATCACCCTCATCAGCGACATCGCAACACCGTCGTTCTCATCAACGCGAATCGTGTGCATTGCCTCCATCATCAGCACAACCACCTGCATCACCGGCACACGAACATCATCATCATCATCATCATCATCCTCGTCGTCGTCGTCGCCAGGATTGGTGCCGTCCTTGGCGTTACCGTCGTCATCGTCATCATTGCCACGACCATCGCTATGATCATCACGGTTGCCGCCGTTGAAGGCATCGTGATATTTGGCCCACCGGAGGCACCGAATCGCACCGAAGCGCCCGCGCGCCAGCACAGCCTTGGAGACGCGTTGGGAAGAGCCCATCGGCAAGCGCCATTGCGGCCGCACCAGCTGTGCCAAACCAGCTAGCCGATCTGCGCAAGAGCATGCGCGCGCCAGTGCGGCCGTTGAGACGCGCTCGCAAGTTCAAATCAGCAACCGCAACCGTGGCCGCATTTGTCTTATCCAACAAGTGAAAGGTGGGAGGGTGGGATGCTTTCGCGAGCAGTGGAGTCGACAAGTCATGGTTGATTTGGTGAAGTGCACCGCGTAGATCGCACTTCATGGGATGTCACCGCGGGCGCGTTGCGGGCGGGCTCCCGAGGCGGAGTCACCAGGAAGTAACACTTGAATTCTTTGTCTGCCATCGTCTGAATACGATGAAGTCGCCTTAGCAGGGCTCGTTTCGATTCCTCCGATTCGATTCGATTCGATTTCGGTGGCTTCCGATTCCGATTCGATTCGACTTCGGATTCCGATCTGGATTCAGATTTCTTACTGAAGGCATACTAGCTTGCCGATGTCCGCCGATTCAACTTCTCCCGACGCGGCTGCCGATGTCCGCCGATCCGACCCATTTCGATCGCCGATTCGACTTATCGATTCGATTCTGGGCTCTCCTGCCTTAGTGATGCTCAGAGGGGCCTGGAGCACTTTGGTACGGCAGCGGCAACCAAGTACACTTTGGGGATTCGGTGGTTCTCATATATGTTCGAGCTACGCGTACAGCACTTGGTTTGTTCACAGATGTTCACATATTGTTTTCGTCTTGTTTTCTTGCCCCTCCTCGCCCCATTCCAGTCACCTCGCCCTCGGAGCGTCTTCAGTGCAAGAGCAGGCAGCATACCTTATGCGCGTGCGACAGCGCTCCAGAGTCTAAAGCACTTTGATCACACCGGCGAGTACCGAGGCCGATGCGAACCGAGTGCCGCGAGAAGCGAAGTTGCAGAAGCAGCGCCAGGAAATCGGGACACGTTTGACTCTAATGGCCCAGGAACCAGTCATGACAGTTCGTTCCAAGGCCCGGCGCCACAAGGAGCAGAGAGAGTCTTCAAGTTTCGCGTATCCCCACTGGCCCATGCAGAATTGTTGCCCGCAAAAGGTGGCGGGAGAGCGGACGAAGCGATACATCCAGCGAAACAAAGCGAGCAACGGTGATCGTTGTTTTATTCATTCTTTTGCCGATCGGCGCGGGCCCTCGCACCCCCCCCCCTCCGAACTTGGCTGTTTGGGGCGCCTGTTTCGAGCGGGTGGGGTCTCCCCCAGAGGCCGCACTCTTGCAACCAGTCGCACTAAGCAGAGGTCCAGAGCCAGACCCCCCCCTCCCCTCCCCTTCCGCCAATGCAAAAACGCCGAATAAAAAAAGTTGAGAACCAGCGTGAACAGAGAGATCTCTGGAGGAAGGGGGCGGCCTTGGAGAGCCTCTTCGGGCCAGCCCTGGGACCCGCGGAGGGGCGAGGGAAGGAGCAGGAGGAGAAGGAGGAGAAATAATAATAAGAATAAGAAGAAGAGGAAGACGACGATGACCACTACAACCACGACGAAGAAGAGGAAGAAAAGGAAAAGGGAAAGGAAGACGATGAGGGCTATGAGGGCAAGGACGAGGGCAATGAGGAGGAGGAGGAGGAGGTCAACGAGGACGAGGACAGAGCCCTCAAATCGCCTCTTGGAGCCCTCTTGGGGCTCTTTGAGGGGTCTTTGGGCCCTCTTGGAGCTCTCGGGCTCTCTTGGGGGCCCTCTTGGGAGTCCTGGAGGGCCTCTTGGGGCTATCCTGGAGGGCACCGTTGCAAAGAAGTGGGTCCAACGTTTGGTCCCCCCCTCTCGGGCTCTCGAAATCGCCCCCTGGAGCCCTCTTGGGGCGCTCCCGGGGCGACCGTGGGCGCTCCTGGGGCCGTCTAGGGGGGGGCCTTCTGGGCCCATCTCGGGGCTCTCTTGGGCCATCTTGGGGCCATCGTCAGGCCTCAGAAGCGCATCGGAAGCGAAAAGGCGAGAAGGCAACAGTCATGCATGTTCCCCAGATGTTCGACGGAGTTGGCCTCGTGGGGGGTGTCTTGAGGGGGCTTCGAGAGCACTTGGAGCCGTCTTGCGGCCTTCGTCGGGCCTCTTGGAGGCATGTCGGACGCTGTATTGAAACATCTTCGGTTCCGTAGCACCCCGCAGATGCGGATAAGAGTGAGGGGGCGGTGGAGACGTCGGCAGTCTGCGAGACTCTGGAGAAGCCCGCCGCATTCGCCAAAGTTTCACAAATTATACAACGAGCCCGCCGCAGGAGCCGATTTGTTCTTCAATCCAATGTGGATCGGTCGCGGGTGGGTCGCGGGTGGGTCGCGGGGTGGGTCGCAAGTGGGTCGCGGGTGGGTCGCGGATGGGTCTTTGATCGTCGGCCGCTTTGGAGGCCATGTTGGAGCATAGGAGGCCCTCTTGGAGCCATAGTGGGCGAAATATGACCCCCTGACACCTCCCCAAACCCCCAAACAACCTTAGTGGGGCAAGGGGGAGAGTACCCCTCCCCAAAGGGAAGAGGGCTTTTGGCCAACTGAAGACAGATATCGCTAGACCTTCTTAGCCCAAAGGGCTGGTGGGATTACACCAGTCGCCTGTGTCGACCGTTGGTATGCAGATCCCGTGCCACCACGGTTTGTTTAAGAATGCAGTGATGGTGCCAAATGAGGTACCATCAACGGTCATGCGCCCCACAGTGTTCGTATATTTGGTGTTTAACGCAAAGTGGGGTGGCATAGTGTGTTTCCGCAGCGGTTGCATCGACTTGAAACTTACCAGGACCGAACAAGTCATCCCAGAGCGATTCAGCATTACGACAAGCAGTTGTTGAGCAGCGTGTTAAAGGCTTATTTCCTGGGTCATACAAATTGATCCAGAGACGAATGGCCAGTGCGATATTGACATGGTGCCATAACATTGAAGTAGCCTGCATGTAACAAAATCAGCATCGCTCCTCGTCCTTCTCTTCACCCCCAACACCTAATCCCCATCATGCTAATGATTCCTCTTACCATGTTACTACCTCCATCCTCCCTTCTCCCTTTGGCATTATTTGCTTCAGGCTGGGCACCATGTCACTTCCGATTAGCTACGCTGAGTTGCGCAAATGGCTGCGGACTCCCAGCACACCTCACCTGACGCTTTAACCTTTGCGCAGGATCTCGTCATGGGCAGTCCAAAAATATTGGTGCGTTATGAGCGGCTCATCGTATCGGTTGCAATCCTCTCCACCGTATCTCTTACCCAAGAGTCCTACGATAAAAGTAGTTGCAGCACATTCGAATTCCTCCCCCGTTGGCGCCGTCCCTTTGCAATGCACATAGTGTGTCGCTTCGCCCACATGCATCGCATGTTCATTGTGAGGTCTGCCAAGCCGCCAACCACTTTATTATAAGCTCGCCTCCGCCATTCCACAGGACTGATTGACAACCAGCCGTGACACATACGGTAGACGATCCAGTCCAGCACAGGTGCGAGGAGCGGTTCGCAGGTGGTGTCGCGTAAATTGGCATGTCCACGAAAAAACGTCACGACTCATGTGCGAATACGTGCCGTGTTTCAGGCGCTTGCTTGCCGACGCTTACGCAGCATTCATTGGTACAGTGTCGACTCGTGTGGCTCTGGCAAAGACTGTTGCAGGTAAGTATGTCTGTCTCGATTTCCTGAAGGCTAGGTGCTCTTCGACAATCTCGTCGCCACACACAGGTAATCTCCAGTGCGAGCAAATCGCTGTTACGATCCGCACTAATATTGCTTTCCAGTCTGGCCACGACGCGGACCCAGGTTTGGAGTGCCAGCGCACGCCAAGCGTCATGATTATAGGGATCTCCCACGCGTTTCGAGGTCCGCCACGTCTTTGAACCAGCTTCTCTGCACTCCGTTGCTTTGGGTCCAGAACGGTTGCGGTGGACCACGTAATTCTCGTAATGAAGTCTCTGACCAGGAAACATAGCGGCGATAGGCCGTCGTCGTTGTACGCCGCGGGCTTGTGGTATGCCGCCTTGCAGGCAGAGTCTAGCGCAGCAGCGCGCATTGGTTGACGGTCAGTGGGCCATTCATTGTTTGATCTTCCTTGCCGCTCTGCCAGTAGACCCAGTTCGTCTCGGCAGGTGTGCATCGTAGCGGGAAGTCGCCGGTTCCGCTCGTTGTGTTCGAGATCAGTTGTCAAATGATTAACGCGTCTTTGCTTCGAGCAGCACAGATGAAAGCGGTCTTCCTCCTCCTCCTCCTCCTCTTCTTCCTCCTCATCATCATCATCCTCCTCTTTCTCGAGTCCAATGCACGTGGAGCACTTGTACTTTCACGTACCATGTCATCTTGTACATGCGATTTGAGGCAATGCGCCAGAGTGTGAGAGGAGGTTAGACTCCAGACTGTAGAGAGCACGCTCAGTCGTGCGTTGACTCCACAGAGCACACGGAGGATCCCGAGGTATCAGAGCAAGCGCACGTTGCTTCAGTCAAAGACTGTAGCAAACGGACGGTCTCCAAAGTGCGCGCGCCTCCTGCGCAATGGTGCGCTCGTCGGCGCCATCGTAGCTTGGTGTGTTGGCCCTCGGCCCCCACACCCGATGGTGTAAAAGTTTATGGTGCTCGTGTACTGCACCCGCCGCTGCAAAGTAGTGAGCTCAAGACGCTAAGTTTGGTCTCTGGCCCGATATTACCCTGCTGCGTCCTCGCCTCCCTCCGCACACTGCGCAACCGGCGGACCAGCGTTTTCTTGAGAGGACCAAGCAATGTCTCTTCTACGGTGCGGCCCAAAGGGATTTCCTTCATCCTATGCTTTCGCGTCAGGCCCCCGCTCGCCTCTGCTCCTTCCTCCCCGGCTTCCCCAGCCCCCACGCCCCGCCACGAGAGGGCCCGGTCTTCTCGACCGCACGGCGTCTCGCTCGTTCGCTCGCTCCCTGCCTCCTCACTGGCTGTTCCACCTACTCAGCCGACGTTCGCATAGTTTTACCAGTTTGAAACATATCCCTATCCCTATGTTTGACATCATCTCGCCTCGATGCCGATCTTAAGGATTCCCTCAGTTCCTGAGGGCCTATCCCTAAGATTGTCCTCGCTTTTTGCTCGCCCATCTTAGGGATAGGGATACGTTCGAGGCTGGTTATAGCTCCTCTGCTGTTGCAGCTTCTGCTCGTTGCCCCTGCGTCGATTGTGCTCTGCATGGGCGCGTGGCATGCCCGGCTCGACTCGGGGCTGGCGGCGGGCTCGGGTTTGCCCCCGCAGCGGGCACGGCGCGAGAGCCAGGCGCGGAGCCCGTGAGGACAAGGGTCTTGCCCCCGCCGGCCTCTCCGTCACCAGGGTTCGGAAGGTACGGCGTCTCGCTGGGTGGGTCCCCCCTGCTTCGCATCCTCCCCCCTCACCCTTCTCATCTGTCCTCCTCCTCCTCCTCCGTCCTCATCCCCCTCCACAGCCTCCTCCTCCCCCTCTTCCTCCTCCTCCTCCTCCCTCCTCCCTCCTCCTCCTCCTCCTCCTCCTCCTCTTCCTCCGCCGCAGTGGTGGCTGATGCCCCCTTGTCTCTGTTCTGTTTCGCCGCTGTCTTTTCCCGACCTGGGCCTTTGGACCCCAGCCAATCCATGCTCCATACTCCTCCTCCTCCTCGTCCTCGTCCTCTTCCTCCTGCTCCTCATCCTCCTCCTCCTCGTCCTCCTCCTCCTCCTCCTCTTCCTCTTCATCCATTCCTTTTCCTCATAGAGACTTCCTCCCTGTCGCACCCTGAGGCTGGTCGAAAGAGCGGGCCAGGCGTTTCACATGAGACTTCCTCACGATTTATGCTCATGAAGCTTAAAAATGGCAGCAGTTTCACCAATGGAGGGCGGGCCGCTTCCAAAATGTGGCTCTCGCTTTAGTGCCGCGCACATTTCTTTTACAAAGTCACAAGAGCTTCACGGATTGAGGGCGGGCGGTTTTCAAAATGTGGTCCTCGCATTAGCGTCACGCGGAGTTGTTTGTTATTTGCATGTGCTTCACGGATTTAGGACGGTTCGTTTTCATAATGTCGTTCTCGCTGCAGCGCCGCGCACATTCGTCTTAAAACCGTGCAAGAGTTCACGGATTGAGGGCGTGCGGTTTTCAAAATATGATTCTCGCAGTGGTGCCGCGCACATTCGTTTTAAACGTGTGCAAGAGTGTCACAAATTCCCGTGGTCAGCGTACCAGAAATAGCGTTGTGAAAGGATTCATGATTCTGAGGGTGCAACAGTTTTGTCGATTCGCGGTGTAGGAATGGTGTTCTGGCACGATTCAGGGTCGTCAGACGCAACAGAGCATGGAGTTTCAGCATGCCGCAGGGTCTTCAAACGGTTGTCTCACAACCGGGCAGTTCCCTCATTGGAAATGAGTTTTTGTAGGGGGCCTATGAAGAGGGAGCTTGGAGGGAAAATGTGTTCCAACATCGTCGAGCATCTTGGGTTTACACTGGTCCTCCTCCTCCCCCTTCCTCCCTCCCTCCTCCTCCTCCTCCTCCTCCTCCTCCTCCTCCTCCTCTTCCTCCTTCTCCTCCTCCTCCTCCTCCTCCTCCTCCTCCTCCTCCTCCTCCCTCCTGCTCCTCCCTCCTGCTCCTCCCTCCTGCTCCTCCCTCCTCCTCGGCCCGTGGCCCCTCGACGTTCCCCGCATGAGCTCGCCAGATCTTGCCCTGGGGCGACCAGACCGCCCTGGTGAAGATGGCCGGGAAGCTGGGCGTGGACGTCCTCGTGCCCGGCCCCCGGCCTCCACGACCCCGGGGGGGGGGGGTCGTCGTCGGGAGGAAGGGAGGAAGGGAGGAAGGGAGGAAGGGAGGAAAGGAGGAAGGGAGGGAGGGAGGAAGGGAGGGAGGGAGGGAGGGAGGGAGGGCGAGGCGGAGCTGCTCGCGGTCCATCTCGATCCGATCCGATCCCCGAGCACCAAGCGCGCCCTCGAGGGCGCGACGTCATGCGCTTCGCGCTGCGCGGTGGGGCTTCGATTCCTCCTCGTCCTCCTCGCCTCCCCCGCGGGGGGAAGGGGGGCGGCGCCGCGAGGGCGCGAAGCTCTTCGCGCGTCGCGCGGCGCGGAGCGCGAGGTTGGGCGCCCGCGGAGCTTCTTGGCTGCCCGGATGCCTCCCGTGCGGAAGCGCAACGCGCAGCGTGTTCAGCACGCTGCGCGTCGGCTCGCTGCGCGACGGCTCGGCACCCGTCATTGGCGCCAGCGCTGCAGAGCGGATCTCGTCTGGAAGGCAGCGAGGCGGGCCCAAGATTGCCCTGGAGAGTGTCGTTCCGGATGTCGAAGTGAGCCTCGTGCGGGTGTTTGTTTGGCCAGGGATGAAGACTGCAAAAAGTCCACGTGAAATTCGCTTCGCTTTTCGCTCGCCGTTTCGGGTTGTTGCATTGGCAGAAATCCATGAGAAGATCCTCTGCAGCACGTCTGCAAGGTCGGTGCAGTGACACGTGTTGGACCACGTTTGGGCGAACGCATCGCGCCAGACCTCCGTTTTTGTCAGGCTACGTGCCGAGCTATGCGCGCTGCGTGTTGCGTGTTGCGTATCCGGGTGGCTGAGCCGAGTTCGATTCCGATTTCGATCCGATCCGACCCGACACGAGCCGATTCCCTCTCTGGCCCGCAGGCGCCGAGCCTGATCCGCGATTCCAAATACGATCCGATCACGAGTCGGTTGCGCGCCGATTCAGGCACGATCCGATTGCCGATCAGGTCCAGCTTTACGAACCGATCCAGCTCAGGCCTTCGAGAGATGGACGGATGGAGGTGAGGAGAGAAGAGGGGGAGCTAAGAATGAGCACAGCTGGCACGAGGGCTAAGAGCAACTCCTAGCTTTGGAGGGGTACCCTTATGTTTTTCGATGCGGGCTCTCCACTTGGGAATGCAACTCGTTTTAGCGGCACCTCCACCAGGCATCGGGCCTTCGGTGAAGGGGCTCGTATCATTGACCCTCATTACCGTGGCTACGTGTCGACGGCATTGTTTTCTGGAATGTTCGATGGTTATGCAGGTGGTTTGAAGAGCTTGTGTCTACGTAATCGGTGTGCGTGCGTTTTTTGTTTACGTGTCCTCTTTGTGTGCAATTCGCACGTCTTGTGGATGTCGTCCGCCACCTCGCTGGGGTCAAGGCAGGCGTACTCAGTAGATTGCGCATGTGTTCGATCTTGCTTTCACCCTCCGGCCGCCTGAGGCCCCGCCCGCCCGCGCCTTGTCTCCCCAATTAGTGCTTTGCGCGCCCCGCCTAGCTCTTAACCGGAAGAGGCCCGCTCTCGACCCGCAGACCAAAAAAGTGCTCGATCTTGCCCTGCATCCAGTCAGAAGAGGCGAATGTACTCTGCTCGAGGCGGTGGAGCCGTGGGACTCGTTGGGCATGGGGTAGCGTCCGCATCGATGCCAGCCCCTGTGGGCCAGAGCAAGCTGGTTGGAGCTTGCCAGCTGCGCGCAGAGGGCCTGTGGGAAAAAACCTGTGGGAAAAACACTCTGTGGGAAAAAAAACTCTGTGGGAAAAAACACGTCTGTGTGCGTTTTTCCCCCCAAAACACGTGTTTTTGTTCCCACAGAGTGTTTTTTCCCCCACATGTTTTCCCACAGACGTGTTTTTTCCCATGGACTCGTTGGGCAATGGAATAGCGTCCACAGCGATGCCAGCCCTTGTCGGCCAGGGCAGGCTGGCTGGAGCCTGCCGGCCGCGCGCAGAGAGCCTTGGAAAATCGGCCCGCGCAGGCCCGCCGTGGCCTGCAGTTGGCGCGCAGAGGGCGCATTCGTTGCGCCTTAAGGGGCTGGAGAAACATAACAAATTATCCCGGCAAAGCAACCTAACAGCGATGTGTAGGAGCATATTTGGAAGCATTCCCCTTGAGATTCAGATGAGAATCCAGTTGTAGAATTCTGCTGTTCTCGCAGTCGTAGTCGCATTCGCGATGACAGTCGCAGTGGCCTGCATCAGCCTCAGCCTCAGCCTCAGCCTGCCTCAGCATCAGCCTCAGCGTCAGCCTCAGCCTCAGCCTCAGCCTGCCTCAGCCTCAGCCTCAGCCTGCTTCAGCCTCAGCCTCGGTCTTGGAAGTCTGGGAAGTGGAAGAGCACGAAATGGCGTACAGTTGGCTCCCGGCATTCAAAATGTGGCCCGGGAGTGCTCGAGTTCTGGGAAGTGGAAGAGCATGAAGTGGCCTACAGTTGGCTCCCGGCATTCAAAATGTGGCCCGGGAGTGGAGTTTTGGGAAGTGGAAGAGCACGAAGTGACCTACAGTTGGTTCCGGGCATTCAAGATGTGGCCCGGGAGTGGAGTTCTGGGAAGTGAAGAGCACGAAGTGGCCTACAGTTGGCTCCGGGCATTCAAAATGTGGCCCGGGAATGGAGTTCTGGGAAGTCGAAGAGCACGAAGTGGCCTACAGTTGGCTCCGGGCATCCAAAATGTGGCCCGGGAATGGAGTTCTGGGAAGTCGAAGAGCACGAAGTGGCCTACAGTTGGCTCCGGGCATCCAAAATGTGGCCCGGGAATGGAGTTCTGGGAAGTCGAAGAGCACGAAGTGGCCTACAGTTGGCTCCGGGCATTCAAAATGTGGCCCGAGAATGGAGTTCTGGGAGGTCGAAGAGCACGAAGTGTGTGACTGTTTGCTTAAAGCGAGCCCGGCCCTCGCCTGTCCGGCTCCCGCCCAGACCCCCTTGGGGGGTCATCAGATGCTCTCTTTTGACCCCATTAGAAACCTATCAGTCTTCGCTGTTAGGTAAAAATTGTTTTGGTCTGCGGGTCGGGAGCGGGCCCCTTCCGGTCAAGAGCGAAACGGGGCGCGAGTAGCCCTGATTGGGGAGACAGGGCGCGGGCGGGCGGGGCCTCAGGCGGCCAGAGGGCTCAGAGTACAGGCGGTGCCGAAAATCTTGCACAGGACAAGGTACGCCTTGGACTGGAGCAGGGGGCGAAGTCCCAGAGGGAGGAGCACAAAAAACGAGCACAAGAGAAACACACAAAAAGCACGAGTTGTTGTTGCACGTCACCTCTCGCTCTCTCTCGCCGCCCGTCAGCAAGGTCCGGCCACACCCATAAGCACAGCGTTCAGAATTTGGGCGGCAAGTTCATCATCAACCCGGGTTCAGGACGCTGAGAGCGCTCGAGAGATTGCGGGGCGAGCATTCGGCAGGGCGGAGGGAATCAGAGGAAGCGTTCAAGAAGGCAGCCGCCTGCACGATTGCCTGACTCAGAGAGCAAGCACATCGTGCGGTGCAGAGAGCGCAGGCGGCAGCGTCCGAAGACAGGAAACGTATACGTAGCAGGAGTAAGTGGCGGGAGAATGCACACCAATGTATAGCAGGAGATCGAATCGGAAAAAATGAGGGCCATGAACCGATACATTTTCTGTCGTCTGGGGTGTGATTTCTACAGTGTGGCAGTATGTAGCTTCTGGCCCCCGGCTTTGACACTGCATCGTGTCGTCAGGGTCAGTTTCTTCAGGATAGGCGTGCATCATCTTTCTTGCTGACCAGTTGATGAAAATTGGTCATGGGTTGACGTGGGGAGTGATTTGCATCGGTTTGGTGTGATTCCCCATTATCGGCTCGTGCCCATCGTCACTTGGTGATCTGGTGAGTCGACGGGTCAGAGCCAGACAGCGTGAAAGACGTAAGGCACAACGCAATCCCACCAATCCCTTGTATCGGAAGACAGGACGATCCTTGTGCTTCCAATTGTGTAGCGCCTCCCCCAGTGACCGGGGCATGCAACGCCGTCGGCGAATTCGACGTGGTGCCGTCGTTCATGCTCATGGCAGTGCAGGGTTCAGGCGAGCCACGTGCTCTGATGTTTTTGTTTTCCTCGCTGCCCCTTCACCGAAGGATTCCAAGTTGACTCGTTGTTCCTCGTTGTTTTTCCTCGTTGCCCCTTTACTCTCTGCAAATAGGCTGGTGGCGATGCCGCCTCGGGGCTGGGACCCTCGAGGACGCCCCCCCCTTGTTTAGTTGAGGGTGTTTGCCCCCCCCCCCCCCCAGATTGTTCTTCGTGGAAGTGTGTCGTTCTCTTGTGTTGCTCGGTTGCTTTCTGATTCGACTGCCGTCCACCTGCCCCAAGTTTGTCTCTCGGCTTGCCTTCAGCTCGCTTGAGCCTGCTGGTTGCTTGGATTCGGAGTGCGCTCGCCTGCCGCTCACTTGCTCTTGGCCTGCGCTGAGATTGCCAATGTGAGTCCGCCCCCATTGAGAGTATCAAGACCATCAGGCCGTCAGCTCGCGGGTGGTTCGCGCCTAGTGTTCGTTACGCTTGCTTGTAGCTGTTCATGCAGCTTGCAGTCCACTTGCGATGACCTTGATGCTCGCCCCTGTCTCGGGCTTGCCTCCACGTGATTCCCGAAGGCTCCTGTGCCATGCGCCCGAGGCCCCTGGTGTGCCTGGGTGGCCCGCGGTCTCCCGTGTGCTCCCCCGCATGCTCTCCCGCATGGTCTCCCGCGTGGTCCGTCTCCCGTATGGCTTCTTGCGTCTTTCTTTCCGCATGGGGTTCGTATGTGTTGTCGCACGTTCAGCAGATCAAGGGCGACGGTAGGGGGGGTGGGCACTGGGGGGGATGCAGCGACCCCCAATTGGCCCACTGATCGCCGATAAACACCCAAAAGCCCCAGCTTGCCCAGGAACGTGCGGATCCACTCACTATTGGGGGCTTATCGCCGATCTGTTGGCGATGCATCGCCGATTCTAGGTCGATGTGCCCCCCCCATATGCCAGTCCCCCCCGATCGTCGCCCCTCAGTAGACTGTGTCGTTCATGCTTAGGTCGTGTTGTGTGGGGCTTTCTGCAGCTAGGGTGCCAACTAAAGATGCGCTCCGCGTGCGTCTACGGCTACCTCTTCCGACAAACGATGCATGAACATAAAGTTTCGAAGGTCTGCACGGATCTCTTAGATCTACCTTGGAGGCAGAGGAGGGGCATGAGGAGGAGGGACGAGGACGAGGGAGAAGGGATTCGAATGAGGAGAGCAGAGGAACAGGGATAAACAGGGGGAGGAGTAATGATGAGAGGAAGCAGTAGGAGGGGGGAGGAGAGAAAAGGCAAAAAGGGATCAGAAAAGGATGAGGAGGAGGTGGAGAAAAGAGGAAGAGGAGGAGATGGAGGAGAGACGGCGAGGGACGAGAAGGAGGAGGAGGAGGAGGAGTATGAGGAGGAGAAGGGGGAGGCCGCGTTCGACGAACTCCATATGGCCATTAACTCGTAGCTCGTAGGAGGAGGAGGAGGAGGAGGAGGAGGAGGAGGGCGGAAGCGACGGACTGGAGGGCCACGGCGGCTCTCCAGGCGTGGTGCTCTACACCTACGAGGAGAAGGATGGCGAGGCGAAGGCGCGTCGTCCGCCCTGCGGTTCCGCCCCCCTGTCGGCGCGCTCTTGCTGCGCACACCTGTGGTGCCCCTGGCTGGGAGGGGCTCTCCCCTCGTCCTTCGCACCCTGCTCCTCCTGCTGCTGCTCCTCCTCCTCGTCCTCTTCCGCCTCCTCCTCCTCCTCCTCCTCCTCATGTTCCTCCTCCTCCTCCTCCTTCCCTTCCTCCTGCAATTCGTCAGCAACACCACCACCACCATCCTCGTCACTGCCAGTGTCATCATCGCTGTCATGACCAATTGTGTGATGGCACTGTCTACCCAATCGGTTTCGGCAGTGGCTCCCGCGATGAGGGCTGGCTCCCCCCCCATTGTCCGCCACGCCCCTCCGCCCATGGCGCAGCTATACCCCCGCCGCCGTTGGATGCCGGTTGCGGCCAGCACTGTGGCGTCATCATCATCATCATCATCATCATCATCATCAGCAGCAGCAGCAGCAGCAGCAGCAGCAGCATCAAGTCCTCCTCCTCCTCCTCCTCGTCCTCCTCTTCCTACCGCTGCCTGTTGGCTGGGGTGTCCGACGCAGCCCGCCCGCCACCCAGGGCCCGTCGGCCTTGAGGGGGAATCAAAGTATGGCCAGGTGACCCCTGGAGCACCGCTCCAGTGGCCACCGCAGGAGTTCAGTGGCAAAAGTAAACAGACAGGAGGAGGAGAAGAGCCATATCGAAGAGGTGGGAGAGGCTACAATGTGCGCTTCTCGCTGGCCTCGTCGAAGTGGTCAATGGGCGTTGCGTGCTCGGCCTTGTAGTCCGCGAGGAGCCGGCTGTCGTCACCGGTATGTTCTATCAGCGGTGATGGATCTCTTTTGGGATCTCCTTCGGCGCGGCGTCTTGCTCGCGTTTGAGGTGCCATGTGGAAGTTGCTCTTCTCAAAGATCACGTCGTCATTTTGCGGGCACAAAGCCTTCGCGCCCATGATTGCCAAAGTGTCGGTCAAGCACTAGATGAGGGGCGTGACTTCACTTGGGCCCTGCACGCTGCTGTTCTGGTCGGTAACGCGGAGCAGGCACGAGCGGGCGCGGGCCTTCGAATCGATGGCCATTCGTTCTGCGTCTTGTAGGTCTGCTCGTCTCTGCACCTGCGTGGCCATGACCTTGTGGACCTGTCAACGTTGGACACACCCATGCCTCGTGGACTTGTTTGTGGAGGCACAAGGTAGATATGGCTCTTCTCCGCCATCTCCTTGGCTGTTTCCCAAGGTAGGGCAGCAATCAGTGCTCGTCGGGCCGCGTCGGCGGTGGAGCCGTCTTTCCTGGGTCTGATTCATGCCGCCGTCCTGTAGTGATGTATGTGGGTCGGTTTTGCTGTGTAGTGGTGGTCTTTAGTGTTTAAGCTGGTGCATGTAGCGTTTCCGTCGAAATTGAGCAGTGCATCGTCGGCCTCCACGGAGGCATCTCTCTTCCATCCGTGGTTGGTGGCCGCCATGCATGCAAGTGCGTAGTGGTCCGGGTAGAGCGTATTCATCCATCCCCTCGGCGTGTTGGTCGGGACGACTACTTGTCCAACTTCCAAGGCCGCGTAATGAGGTGCATTCTTTGGATAGCGCGTCAGACACGAGTCCTTCTTGAGCTCGATCTGGCGCCCGCGCTGCCGCTGCTGCGAAGTGCGGGTCGAGTTGCTTGTCGTCGGGAGGTATGTCGTGGAGGAGCTCCGCGACAGGTCGGATGCCTTGGCCGCGCAGCAGCCTCGGCTGATCCTCCTGTTGGAACTCAGTTGCTGCACTCGGCGCGATGTCGCGTCGTTCGTGATGTTGCGGTTGTTGTATTCGTTATGCGCTTTTGTTGTCAAGTCTCTGCAGCCCACAGCGATCCTGATCTGGACGTGCCTTGCGACGGTGATCTTGGGTAGGGCGTTGACGATCTCGTGGCCGATCGCCACGATGCCTAAATCTATTCCACCACTCAACTATCGGCCCCACTTGAGGTCGACAGCTGGCACCATGACGGACTGTTCCACAACGAAATGCGTCGCTCTGGGCTCGGACACAGCGGCGTCGTGTCCAGTTTTTTGAGCCATGCGCTGCAAATGGGGTAAGATGGAGGGGGGACATGGCGCTGCGGGCACAGGCAATGAGATCGATGGATTCTTTCTGCTCGGCGTAGTCGCCCCGTTCTACAACGGTCGACTAGGGGGGGCAGCCTCACCTCAGGTCAGGCGCACGAGAAGCTCTGGTAGACGTTGCTCAAGGTTGAGCTACGGAAGTGCCCATCAGGGGGCAAGCCCGAATTACGTGGGCCCCACGGTTGGCTGATTAGTATTTGTTTGCCGTCATGCGGCGACCAGAGGTCGTGGAGTTTGTTGTTCTAGGTTAGTGCAGTACGTTGGCAGGCTTGTGCGAGGTGGCGGTGGGCGATGCAATCCGCGCTGTAACTGAAGTCGAGGCATGGGTCCAGTGGCGCGTAGAAGGGCGAGTGCCTCCTTGACCGGAAGCGGATGGCGTTGCCGCCCGTCTCCTCCTGAATGTTTTCGGCACCGATGCTGCGAGTATATGGTTGAGCTCGGTTAGGTAGATCTCGGCTGCTGCGCTTCACCACGCGCCATCCTCGTTGCGCCCAAGCAAACGCGGGCGAGCCCCAGGTTCACAGCTTCACCTGCATCTGCTGTGTTTTGCGAAGATGCGCGCGGGAAGGGCTGGGACGCCGATCCCCAGTGGGCCCGCGGGTTTGCGGGCCAGCTGCGCCACCATGCACTGGTCGAAAGGTACAAGTCGTACACTGGGTGCGCGTGGCAGGTGTTGTACATCTGGTAGTAGCCAATTGCTTGGGATTTGTCTGCTGTCGTGGACTGTTTCGGAAAACTCCGTTATGGCCGGTATCCCCGTGGCGTACGTCACGTACAACATGAGTACCGTGGCGCGTGAGAGTTGATTTCCGATGTCGATTTGGTCGTTTTCCTTCTCGATATATTAGTTTTGACCCCACGGCTGAGCCCTGCTCCGCAATGGTCGAGATTGGTGGTTTACGTCGGGTAGGTCTCTCTTTCTTGTTGCACTCCATGTTTCGCATGGTGGCCCAGCCGTACTCGCTGCACTTCTTTCTTCTCGCATCTGGTTGATCCGACAGTCGAATGTAACCCAGTTTGTCAGGTCTCCAGCGGTTGATTTGTGGCAGATGGAAATGCCCCATCCACTCCTGCAGAAAGTATTCTCGTCGGCGACCACTGTGGCGGCGCAGAACGAAGCGCAGCGGCTGTCCTATGGGTCGCGGCATGGTTGGGTTGGTCGCATGTGGGTCAGTTGGTGGTAGCTCCACGGATGAAATTTTGTCGCGCGTTGCACTCGTGTCCTTAGTGAGGGTAGGTATGATGTCTGTGTTGTAGCAGGGGATGTGGGCGTAGTCGGGGGGGTCTGCCTGCTTTGACGTTGGGTCGATGAGTAGCTCGTACGTGTTTGCGTTTGTCCCCGGTCTCCTCGCCGTTGCACGGCTGGACGGCCGTCGCCCATGTTACCGCGCACGATGGCGTCGCTTAAAGGTGCGTGACAAGCTTTGCGCACGCGTGGCACTGGCAGCTGCATGCCATCCACATGGAGCCCCGCGCCCATCGCGCAGGGCGGGCCCCGTTCTTGCGGCGCTTGCCGAGGCGGGCGCAGTAGATGTTCTTTTTGGCGAAGGTTGCTCCATAATGGCAGCGCAGGGGGGTCTGTGGAGTTAGCGTCGATGGCGTGCGTGGTAGCGGTGGCATGTCGTTTGTGTTTTAGCATGGCCCAAGGGTTAATTACAATTTGTCTTGGCAGGTTTGGTCTGCCTGTCGTCGTAGATATCTCGTGACTGCTCGTTTCACTGAATTCTTGAATATGCCGGGTTCTGCGTGCGCTGCTCGTAGCACTTCCCAGTCGGCTTATTTGCGGCGTCAAAGCAGTCGCACATCCATTGTATATTGTCCACTATCGTTTTGGTCCATCCTGCGTCTTGCCGTGCCTGATCAAGAACCTCACCGATCAGTGTAGGTCCGTGAAGTAGCAGTCGCGGCAGATAGCGCGGCCTTCTGGCCCATCTTGCAACACCGCGCGGCATTCGGTCGGTGGTTGTTAGGACCTTGAGCGTAGAGACTTGGTCCTTGGAGTTGTAGCCGCTTGCTTGTCGGCGTCCGTTCATGCACTCGACGGCGAGGGTCGCGTTGTCAGCGTCTGCAAGGTTACTTCATGCATGGCCGTTGTAGATCAAAGTGAAGAACACCAAAGGGTTGTTGAACAATAATTTCTTGTCGTTTACGATGTTCTTCCGCCTGAAGATCTGATGCCGCAGGGGCCCTCGGCATACCATCGCCTTGGCGGTTCGTCGTCTGACGTCAGGTCCCGCGGCAGCTGTAGCCGCGATGATCGTGCTGAGTCTTATTCGTGAGTCAAGAAGGTCGACGGTCTGGTCGGTGTAGTTGTTGGGAATGGATGCGATGTCATCTGTGGCCAGATGCTCCTTTGTAGTCCTGGATCCGTTCCAAACAGGAGAAGCATGATGTTGGTTGTCCTGGCGTTGAGTTGCTTGCCGTGGCCACGTGCTCTTACCTCGACGATATGCAGCAGCGTCGTCGCAGCGCGCACTGCGCGCTGGGGGGTGATCTTGGCGCAAGCAGACAGGCCGTCCACGAATGTGGCGTCTGTGAGTAATATGATTCCGTCGTGTCCGTTGGTCGGTTGCCGGCCTTGTGCGAATGTGGGCCGCTCGTCGTCGTCACGGTCGAAGTCGCACTGCATCTTTCACGCAATTCTGTTTGTAGCGATTGTCTTGGTGATCATGGCAAAAGGCACGTGGAGGGAGAAGTCGGACATAGGTACTCTTGGTCGCGTGCCCGCGCGCGGTTGGGCGACGCGGGTCGATCTTCTCGTTGTGACCCGGAGGTCGGCGTGAGCGTCTATGGTTAGCGCATGTAGGCGTTCGTCGTCTATGGCGTTGCCGATGTGAGGAGCGCCTTGGAGTGCTTGTTCAAGGAAAGGTTGACGGGCCGGCGGCATGTCCACACCATCGAGTAGG